AAATATATATATATATATATATATACACCCACACCCACACACACACACATATATATATATATATATATATATATATATATACGTACACTATGTCACTAATACTTATTTGTTATATTGTAATTGTATTCTTTTGCTATTAGTAACTTAATTGGGTATTAGTACTTTTTCAGTATCCAGTAACCATTCAAACATTTAAGTATCTGTTCCAGTATTCTTAGTAGCAATTGTAATATATATATATATATTAGACTGTAGTTCTATTGTTGCGAACATTTTTATTAAATTATTACTAAACCATTCTGACCAGTCATGATATATGACAAGAAAACATGTAATATAAGAAATGCTAGTAACAAATGGGAGATATTTGTCTTATAAAGGTACTAGGTCTAACTGTCCAAGTAGAACTACAATAAATACTCGTCACTAATAGAATAAGTAGTAGTATCTAATAGTTACTACTGAATCTGATAAAGATACAACTATTCTCTAATGGATTGCTTAGCAAGTAATTAAAAGTTGTCAGTAACAAATGTTAAAATGGCTTGCCATATACGTCGTGACAGCCTTCCTGTGCTCAACACTAATACTGACTGTACTACAGAATACCAGCTAACCTGTGTATGTAAACACAAAATTACACCATTTATTTTGGATTTGGAGAATTTACACGCCCTCGTCTCACCTCTTCCCTCCCAGCTCCGTTGAGAATGGGCTCCTCTCCATCTGCCGTCGCCTCCTGCATCTTTCCTCCGTCCCTCTAGCCCCACGGAGGCACCCCGGGCTTCAGGATGTGGCGGGCGGCCCTCGGGTAAGTCACCCCATCCGCCGCTGGTCCCGATACGTTTGCTCGAGAGCAGCAGCCTGGGCGAAGTCGCATGAACAACGCCACATTACCCACCCGCACTCTCCGTCTCCTCCTTGCCCTTCACACATCAAGTGCATGCATATCTTCTCAAATAGTCTCTCGGTTCTGACCATCTCAGCACCAGCTTCATCACCTTCACTGTGGTGAGGATGATGAGGTTGTTGTTATGGCTGTAGGTCCAGTAACATGGATGATGGGAAGAGAATGCATCGAGGATTTTACAACGCACGCGCCTGTCTGAATGCTGGATGCAGGCAGCAAAACGTCAAAACACATTTCCACGAAAGCAAGCAGCGTCGATCCAAGGCGCTCTACTTGTTTTTGTCGATGTGCGTGTTTCTCCTTGAGGGAGATTCAGAGGACGTCAGCGGAGTCCCCCTCCAATCTCCTGTAAGGCAGAGCAGCTGTTACCTCAACACTCCTTTCTTAACACTGATGTCACCCACCTGCACCATACAGCTTGTCCCAATCCATTGCACCAATGCCTGCTTGCAATTATTTCCCTCTTTTAATGCACATTTTGCCTTTATATAAATCTTATGCTTCAGTGATTAAAGTTAAGGCACAGCAAGTTTGCAGGGGTTTTTTTAAACATAAGATTGAACTGCAATACTCCAGAGGGGTGAGAGAAACAGACAGACAGAAAGTTAGAAAAACTGTCATTTATATTTTTATTACTTTAGACATTATTTGAGAGTCAACAAATGTACAGAATGAAAATGCAATGATTAAACTAAAGTGCAGCAACACATTTGTGTTTGTAATAAGGCGAAAGCCTATGACAGAGGTCCACGTGTACAGTAGAGCTGATATATAGTGCGGCTCAAGGCCGGTCCAATATTCCTGCAATAAAAAAATATATACATCATAATATAGCAACTAAAAAAAAATTAATAAATGAAGTCATATAGGCTAAACAAAGAATGCATTTAGTTTATCAAAAAATAATATTGTGAAATATTATTACTATTTAAAATAACAAAAAAAAATGTTTTTATACATTTTAAAATGTAATTTATTCCTGTGATACAAGGCTGAATTTTTAGCATCATTACTCAGTCTTCAGTGTCACACAATCCTTCAGAAATCATTCTGATATGCTGATTTGGTGCTCAATATTTCTTGTTGCTATCAGTGTTGAAAATTTATCAAAAAATAATATTGTGAAATATTATTACTATTTAAAATAACAACAAAAAAAAGTTTTTATACATTTTAAAATGTAATTTATTCCTGTGATCCAAGGCTGAATTTTTAGCATCATTACTCAGTCTTCAGTGTCACACAATCCTTCAGAAATCATTCTGATATGCTGATTTGGTGCTCAATATTTCTTGTTGCTATCAGTGTTGAAAAATGTTGTGCTGCTTAATATTTTTGTGGAAATCACAATGCATTATTTTCAAGATTCAATGATGAATAGAAAGTTCAGAGAAGCAGCATTTATTTAAAATAAAATGTAGGTCTTTACTGTCACTTGATTCATTTATTGCATCCTTGCTGAATAAAAATATAGATTTCTTTATATTTTCTTCATATTCTTTATTTGCGACCCTGGAGCACAAAACCAGACATAAGTAGCACGGGTATATTTGTAGCAATAGCCAAAAATACAATGTATGGGTCAAAATTATCGATTTTTCTTTTATGCCAAAAATCATTAGGATATTAAGTAAAGATCATGTTCCATGAAGATATTTTGTAAATTTCCTACCATAAATATATCAAAACTTAATTTTTGATTAGTAACATGCATTGCTAAGAACTTAATTTGGACAACTTTAAAGGCGCTTTTCTCAATATTTAGATTTTTTTGCACCCTCAGATTCCAGATTTTCAAGTAGTTGTATCTCGGTGAATTTTTAGCATCATTACTCAGTCTTCAGTGTCACACAATCCTTCAGAAATCATTCTGATATGCTGATTTGGTGCTCAATATTTCTTGTTGCTATCAGTGTTGAAAAATGTTGTGCTGCTTAATATTTTTGTGGAAATCACAATGCATTATTTTCAAGATTCAATGATGAATAGAAAGTTCAGAGAAGCAGCATTTATTTAAAATAAAATGTAGGTCTTTACTGTCACTTGATTCATTTATTGCATCCTTGCTGAATAAAAATATAGATTTCTTTATATTTTCTTCATATTCTTTATTTGCGACCCTGGAGCACAAAACCAGACATAAGTAGCACGGGTATATTTGTAGCAATAGCCAAAAATACAATGTATGGGTCAAAATTATCGATTTTTCTTTTATGCCAAAAATCATTAGGATATTAAGTAAAGATCATGTTCCATGAAGATATTTTGTAAATTTCCTACCATAAATATATCAAAACTTAATTTTTGATTAGTAACATGCATTGCTAAGAACTTAATTTGGACAACTTTAAAGGCGCTTTTCTCAATATTTAGATTTTTTTGCACCCTCAGATTCCAGATTTTCAAGTAGTTGTATCTCGGTCAAATATTGTCCTAACCTAACAAGCCATACATCAATTGAAAGCTTGTTTTGAAAAATTGACACTTAAGACAAAGGTTTTGTGGTCCAGGGTCACACATAGCAATTCTTAGCAGATGAGCAAGCAAAGCCATTACATTAATTTTAAACACATACATGCAGATAGATAGACAGACAGACAGACAGACAGACAGAGTATAAACAAATCAGTACAAACAAAACAAACCTTTTGAGTTTTCCATATTTGATGGATGAAAGAAGTTTCTCTTTATCTGTTTCATTGGAGCACTGATCATATGCTTGCAATAAACTAGAGAAATAATAAATGATTTAAAAAATCAAGCAAAGCCAATAACCTTTTCCAAACGATTGGGTGAACCAAGAGGTAAAATGACATGACCTTGACATGTTGTCATCCATTTATTTTACCAAGCAATTGTTATGGAATACAATCATTTGAATTTCATACATTGAGTAAATGTCTGGGATAGTAGAATATAAATGAGTAATTTAATGAGTGAG